TCTGTTGGTCAACAAACAGACTTCGGCTGTTTCTGTTGGTCAACAAAAAGACTTCGGCTGTTTCTGTTGGTCAACAGACTTCGGCTGTTTCTGTTGGTCAACAGACTTCGGCTGTTTCTGTTGGTCAACAAACAGACTTCGGCTGTTTCTGTTGGTCAACAAACACACAAGGTGGTCAGCAGATGTTCCCTCATGACTTTGTGATGAGAAACTTTAAAATCTGTTCAGAAAAATTACAGTTCTCTTCTTACAGATGAGAACGGTTTGGCGGTACAGTTCAATTAATAAAATAAATAAAAACAATTTAAAAAATGTATAAAGTCATGTGACAATATGTTCATCACAACGCCTACAAAAGAAACAACTTCTGTCCTGTACAAACAATCTGAAAATAAATACCTAAAATAATTTATTTAAAAATCGAGAACTGCAGGAGCTCAGGCTTTTATTTTGAAACTGGCCCTGCAGACGTGCATCAGATGTGCATCAGATGTGCATCAGATGTGCATCAGATGTGCATCAGATGTGCATCAGATGTGCATCAGATGTGCATCAGATGTGCAGCAGATGTGCAGCTGTGTTGTTGTGCGTCTGCAGGACACTTTGTGTCTCGATGAATCTGAATTCGTCGTCGACTCGTCACATGAGACTGATCGTTGCCACAAAACTAATTTATTGGAAACGTACATAAAAAACAAACAACAAGAACAACCTGCTGCAGGCAACATGGTGAGGCACAACTGGGATCACACACGCACGCACGCACACACACTCTCCCATCAGACAGAACTATGGATTCAATAAGAACTCAGTCCTGGGTTGGTTCTGTCCGAGGTGACGAGTCCTCGGTGATCCATGAAAGCAGAAACTGAACGTTTAAAACTAAATAATTAAAGGTCGTTCTGAAGAGCCGGCCGGCCGCCAGTCGTCCAATCAGAGCGCAGCAGCAGGAGCGACGGCGAAGCGTGGAGTCAAAACCAAAGGAACCGTTTCCAGCAGTTTCACCATAAAACGATGAGAAAATAAAACGTTCACCTCGTCAGAGAAAACGCAGGAAAAGTGCAGCGAGCTGAGGTGAGAGCCGATTGGTCCTCCTCAGTCAGGCTCCACCCCCCGAAGGATCATAACGCCGTCTCAGCATCGACAAACCTCTGGTTCTCTTCGTTCTCTATGCAGATCTGGATACTCTGCATCTTCTCCTGGCTGAGAGAAAACAACAACAAGGTAAACATCACCTTCATCACTTTGTTTACATGTAACACACCACCTTCATCACTTT